GAAGTCCAGGATCCATACTCTGCTGCTCTCCTTTCTTCCTTTTGCCAGGATCCTAACCTTGATCATCTCGTGGTCACTGCTACCCAAGTTGCCATCCATTTCTACTCCTCCCCCATGAATTCTTCCCTGTTTGTGAGCAGCAGGTCAAGAAGAGCACAGCCCCTCCAACACGCACTAGGAAATTGTCTCTAATGCTCTCCAAAAACTTCCTGGATTGTTTGTGCACTGTTGTATTGCCCTCCCAGCAAGTGTCAGGGTGACTTAAGTCCTTCATGAGAACCAGGGCCTGAGATCAGGAAACTTCCACTAACTGTCTGAAGAAAGCATCATTTACCTCATCTCCTCCTGGTCTGGTGGTCTACAGCAGACACCCACCATGACATACCCCACTTTGCTCTCCCCTCTAACCTTAACCCAGAGATTTTCAACAAGCCTGTCTCCAGCTTCATACTGGAGCTCTGAGCAATCATACAGCTTTTACATACAGCGCATCTCCTCTTCCTCCCCTGCCTGTCCTTCCTGAACAGTTTGTACCCACCCATGACAGTGCTCCAGTCATGCAAGCTGTCCCATCAAGTCTGTTATTCCAATCACATCATAATTCCCTGACTGTGCAAAGACTTCCAAATCTTCCTGCTTGTTTCCCAGGCTCTCTGCATTCGTGTATAGACACCTGAGGTAATAAGCCAATTGCCCTTTCTCAGTAAGAATGAGGAGTATTAGATGACCTCATGAGGAATCTACCAGCTCTATTTTCCTGTGATCCTATGATTTCTGGGGTGTGGTATGCCTGAAGAGTAAGCAGGGCACACTTCTCCACGGTTTTCCCATGCTTAGCATAGAGATGAATACCCAAAGAGTCAAGAAATTCTTCAGGACCAGTGGCTGGGATCACCTCTGCATGTCACTTGTGGACTGGAGGATTGACCTGTTCATCTCATCTAGAAGACGTTTCAGTTGCCTACCCATGCCGCAAGAAAGCATTCTGGAGAAAATGAGACACTAATACCCATCGTGCTGAAAAGAATGTGTGTAGCTTGCATGGGATTGGGGGTGGGAGGGAACTCTGCCAAGATCGCTTTGGATATCCATGTGATGCAATACACTTATTTATGAGCAGCATGCTTACTTTACTCTCCTCCTCCTCTATTAAAGGGCATCTTCAATTATCACTTCTGTGTGCCAAGCAGCCATATTGTACCAAAAAGTTTACTAAGGTCTGTAACAGAAAATGCAGAGGTGGAGGGGGACAGGGAAGGGGAAGGAATCGATTAAAAACAGGAACATTTAGAGGTTTTTCCCTTCATGCTCAAATCAATTGGTTTTAGAGGAAGAAAACAAAATGTGTTCTCTCCAATACACCTCTTTGCAAAATTTCTAGTCTGAGAGCACAGGGAGGGTGGGTGGATGAGGTGGGTGTGGGTGTGGGTGTGTGTTGCTACTTACATGGAGTACACAACTGAACCAAAGTTCAGAACCCCAAAGTTCAGGGCTTTCTGGAATCAATGGCTTCACAATCTTAGGTACATTCCCATTGCCTCATGCAAGCTACAGTAAACAAAAAATGTGAACTACTTGTACGCAGGCCATCAACACTTTTTTGAAGCAAAACAGGTAAATAAAACTATTCCATCATAAGTGCCTCAAAAAGGTCATTCTTAGCGTTAACTCCACTGAGTTAATTAAAAATTAGAAAACCAGCTGGAAGAGAAAACAAGAAGCAGCAAGTCGGCAGGAAGAGGAACCTAGATGTGCCTACAGGAGCACTGACAAGGAATACAAGAAATTTTGGTTTTAAAATTGTTTCCAAGGTTTAAAAAGCCCCTTCCACTATATGCAGTAATGCTCAGGTTACCCACAGCAGTCTGTGCAGCCTAACAGAATAAGAGTACCAAAAATGGTGGAGAGATGCTTGATTCACACTCCTGAGTTAAGTCAGTTAAAAACAGCAACCTTTTAGGGAGGTGACAACAGCCAATAAAACCACTAAACAGCTCATGGAGTTAAGAAAGCATAGTAACCCTTTACTAACCAAGTTTAAATCATGCTAAATGACTCTTTCACTTATCTATATTTTATCTGTATATTGAGCAAAATTTTTTAAAGTACCTAGAACGGACAGTTCAGATCAAATTATTCTTTTCTTGGACACTTGCATTTGCATTTATGGCAAATCCAGAACAGATGCTCCTCCTTTTTGCCAAGTTCTTAGCTACATACACCCATGACTCTGACTCACGGTTGTAAAGTACAAACATTACTTTTTCATTTCATTTTTTTTGGATACTTTATACTGTCTTTCATAGACTTGTCCTTGAAGTAAGTTGTTTGTTAGAGCTTTCTTACACTCAAACATAAACCAGTCAATTTGTCCTATTTGATATTATCTACATGCAAATAATCATACCTGACAACTAGAAAACTTGAAAACTTTTACCTTTTCCAAATGATTTATTTAAATGTTATTCTCTAGAGAACTCAATTCTCCTTGATCTGCTTAACATTTGTCAATCAAATTTGTTTGTTGAAACAACTTTCCCACTTGCTACCATGCATTAATGCTCTGATGCCAAGTTTGGCAGCTAAAACCAGTTGGCCGAGTGCCTGATTTTTCAGACATAAGCACCTGCAGCTTCCATGTTTCAAAAAAAATGACTGTTTCTGTAAATTTTGGGTTTGGTAGGCATTACTATGTTGCATTTTGTTGGGCATCTACATACTTTACTAGAAGACAAGAAAAAAACAACGTAACAGTCACCTTCTGAGAAGGAGATTACACCAAAGATGGAAACTGGGAACTGCAGGATTAAAGTACATTTATAAGTACCATCTTTTTTATGAAACCAAGCAGCTTGGTAGAGAACCTAGAGAGGAAAGATGAGTCTATGGTTAAGATGCTGAGCTGAAGCTCAAGAATCCGGCAATTAGTTTCCACCCCTTCTTTGTATCTGTAGGCAAGTCATACCTTGCCTCAATTGCTCATTTGTGGAACAGAGGGAATATCCCTTTGTCTGTCATATCTATTGTACCTGCAAGCAACTTGAGACTGTCTCTCAATGGAAGACAAATCTCAGTTTGGCACACTTGCATTGCTCTAAATCAGTGGTGCTCAGCCTTTTGGCCGCATGGGCTGGATGAGTAGTGCTAAATGGGTCAGATCTAGCCAGTGGGCCTAATCCTGTGTAAATGGTGTGAGGGTCTAATCCAGTGCATACTTAATTAGGCTCCAGTCCCACAAGCCATATAACTACCATGGCTGTGGGCACAGCTCATTCCAATTTGGGCCTGCCACTGCAGCTCATGCCCTGCATGTGCTGCAGCAGGCTCCTCTGCCCAAACCCTTGTGCTGGCCCCACAGGCACTGGATTGGGCTCTACCAACCCCATCGCCAGCTCTGTGTGCACCAAATTGGGCCCTGCTACCCCAACTCTACATGCACCAGTGGAATCCTGCATGCAGGGCTGCATCATCTGGCCCGTGGGGCTTGGAAATTTAAGAGTGGGGAAGTGGTAGGATCATTAATTGCCACCGCTCCCCTGTCCTTCCACTATCCAAATTTCCAGACCCTTAGGGAGCCCCACAGGCTGGATCACACAGCTCTGCAAGTCAAATCTGGCCCACGGTCCTCGGGTTGTGCACCTCTGCTCTATATCAATTATGACTACAAGCTAGGCCTGTGCGAAGTGGCTAGTATTCACTTTGGATTCAGATTCAGTCAATTTGGTGGGCAGTGATTCAATTCGGAGAGCCCTCCACATGGCGTGGGGCAGTGGGGATCGCCCCCAGTCCGGCAGCAGCCGGTGAATGGGAGCATTTTTTT